CAATTTTGGAAGGCAACAAAGTGGAGTACCCTAGGGGTGTTAATGTGCAAGTGTGTTTTATTGCATACAAGAGTTTTTTCTTTGAATTAGGTTTTTCTATTTCATTGAGTTTTATCTTGCCATACACGTCCTAATTACTAGCAATAAGAAGCGGGAATGTAAAATCCTACGCTATTACAATAGTTAGGGGAGGGGGATACACATTTGTACATGGGGGGTTCAACGAGAAAAATAGACAAAAAAGAAAATAGCGAAAAACAAGATATATAGAGAGAGAGAGGGAGGCCGCGCGCTGTTGGGAGGCCATCAGAAGTTCTGACCCAGATCCGCTGTCAGATGATCAACCTGTTGATGAAACTGGATGAGTCAGAACTTCTGACTCTGGAACCTGCAAAACAGAATCTGGTTAGTGGGGAAACCAGAGGTTCTGATTTCCCTGCGCTGCAAGACAGAAGTTTGTTAGTGGAGAACCCAAAAGTTCAGATTCTGCTGAAAAGGCAATAACTCTCAGAGGTTCTGAGGTCATTGGCAGCAAAACAGGCTTCAGATGTGCTAACGTCAAAGTCAGCACTAGGCTTTTTCCTGCACTAATCAGAACATCTGCAATCCTGTTGTTACTCCACAAAACAGAAAACATATTTGGAACAGATCCAGCAAAATAGCAAAATGTCCCAGAGGTCAGAATCACCAAGGTCACAGGCAAGTCCTAAACTGGCTCAGAACGTCCTGAGGTATGAGAGTCCTCAGAACATAAACAGCGATAACATGAATATTTACATTATGTTATTTGAATATGCACAGCTGATGATGCTTAACAGTGGGGTGAGGGTCAGCAGGTGCTTACCTGACTTTCTGGAAAATGGTGGGTGAAAGTTAGCTTTTGGTTCTGGTGGTGTTCTGGACAGATTTGGAAAAGGGGAAGTGAAGGTGTAAACGTGTATAGGGTCAGAAGTTTTGGAAAGAACGCTTTGGTTTACAGAAAAGAGCTGGGTGTTTGATGAGGTTGAAGGTGAGAAACTTAAAGTTATGAAACAAAACTAGAAATTTTGGCAGAGTTTCAGAATGTTATGTTGCTAGGAGTTTTGTTTCTCTCTTAGCAATTTTTTCTGTTTTTCTTGAACTTCTTGAACGTATTTTGCAGTGGTGAAAGCTTTCTATTTATAGGCAAAGTTCTTGTGGATATCTTGAACATTTAAGGCGCCAACAGAGTTTGAACTGGTTCTTTGACAGAAATTCCTGGGAAGTTGTGATAACAGCTATTTTTCAGCCTAGGTAGCAGCAGCAGGCGTGGATTGGGGGAAGTGACCTCTGAAATGGGCGGTGGCGTGAAGACCCATGCCAGAATCTGTGCAAAAGCATTTTCCCAGCCACACGTGAACGCTCAGGAGTGGTTGGAAGCATTAATGGGCATTAAATGGTGACAAGACCTGTCAATACCAACATTCTGGTTGTTGAATCAGCAGCGTAAACCATGCTCTGGCCTTGGCTACCTGTTGTTTTAGCAAACTCTGGAGATTCTCCTAGTTTTCTGGTACGTTCTTTGGATCTACTTCTGGATAATCTGGGCTTAGAGATTCTATATCAATGTGACACCTATCCCTCTGACCTTTCATCTTCTGACTTCAACCTGTTCTGAAGGAGCCTTTATACTTTCATATTTCTTTTACATTCCTTTAGCAAGTTCTGACTGAGCTTGTGTAACTGCTGAAGGGGTATGTTCTGTTTGAGGCTTACACTCTGAACCATGTTTACAACTTCTGATTGAACTGATGTAGCTGCTGAAGAGACAACTTCTGACCATCCTGAGCCAAACTTGCAACTTCTGACCGTCTTCATCTGGAATGGATCCAGAAGTTCTGAAGCGCTGATTTTTTTCTAAAAACACTTATTTAAAGAAACATTCTAAGCACTTAGAATTTGATTTTCCTCAAGATGAAAGCGTTGTTTCTGGAGTTCGGGAGATCATCTTGCTCTTGTGAGTGACTTGCTTGGGCAAAAGGATAACTCAGGACTTGGATTTGTTTCAGGGGACTTTGAAAAATCTAAGATGGTTTCCTGAAGAAAGGGAGGGCAAATTTTGGGGTACAACAAACGCCTTGATCGATTTCTCGATGGTTTCGAGGTATCTCTATTATTGGTTGTTCTACTTCTACCCTTGGAATTTGGGGGTTTGGATTAAAGGTTAAATCTTCTTCCATGATTACCCCTTGATTTAATCTTATTGGTACCCTTTGGGGTTGTCGAACAACTTGGGGTAGTTGAGCAACTTGGGGTACCCCAAAGAATTCAGCCATGCGCGTCATTTGCACTGTCATCTGTTGATTCGACTGTGTAGCAGTCTGAATGAGGGGATTTAACAGTTTGTGCTAACATCTGTACCATTTCATGATTACTTTCGTCCATTTGTTGCCTCAAAATTGCCGTCGAAGCATTTGTGAGGCTTGGTATCATGTGAGATGGTCCTCCCAAAAATTGGTTTCTATTGGTTCCAGACCCCTGTAATGGCGATGTTGCATTCACCAAAGGTTCTGAAAAGGTGGACGCATCATTCATAAGGCTAGCCATCTCAGTAGTTGGCATGCCATATGGCTGTTCTCGACCCATCCAGGTTGTCGAAAATCCTGGGGGTACAGTTGATCGAGATCCTAGATTTATCCTTGGTGGAGGCGTTCCCAAAGGACCTCTTGGACCCACATACGTAAGTAAGGGTCCAGTTTGGTTCGTGGTTAACGCTGGCATTGATCCAACAGAAGTTGGGATATTCCCTTCGACAACAGTAGTAACCGCTGTTCCTGTGATCGGTGGAGGTATTTCTCCATGGTTTGGCTCGTTAGCCATACTATTCTCTCCGTTTTCCTTTCTAACAGTATATTTGTTGGTTACTCTACAACTTCTTAATAACATGCAATGTTATAACTGTACAGGAAAAACACAATAACATAGAAAATTAGCAACGTCCCACCGGGTGTGCCAATTTGTTTACCGTTGTTTTTGGTAAACAACCGCTGATCTTCAAAAAGGTAAGTTTTTGGTTTACTTACGGGATCGATCAAACTAATCCCAGGACATATGCTAATCTCTGTGTAAAATGAGTAAGAAGGAAGAACGCACGTTCGACTCAGAGAAAGGATGTTTGAGATTGTTGGAAAGTAGGAAAAAGCATAAAAATGCAAGTAAAAGCAGTAAAAAGATAACTTTGCAGGATAATGGTAAAGAAATGTAAAAAGACTTTCATTAAGTAAAAAAGGTGTTTCCAACGTACATTGCTCAGCTTTATCCTTTCTCACGCAATAGTTACTTGGATAATATTTGAGAGATTTAGTACAAATAGGTTGAACACCCCGAAAATTACACAAGTTTCTTAATTTATACTAAAAGTAGGTAACCATCGAGGGGACATTCTGCGCTAGGATGAAGACAAGTGTCTTCTGCATGTCCCTCGACCCACAACTTTTTGCCACGTTGCCTCTTCTCAGACGCTGATGAAAACTGCCTTTCCCTCCAATAGTTCAAAATTCAAATGGTCTTCGATCCCTATGCCAAAGCGTGAACACTTTCCCTCAGTCGAGCAACATAATTCAGGTTCAGTCGAGTGAGGCCCTGGTCGAAGATTCTTATCATAACTTAGATCTTTTTCCTTAAGTTATCTCATGCGTCGAATCATACCTCCTAGTCTGGTTCATTTCCAGTTGTTTGGTCCAAAAAGACCAAATATAGTAAGTGTCGAATTTGGGAGCCAACAACATCCAACCGCAATTCCAATCACAATACCAACACACCCGCATACCCCACACACAATTTCAGTCTTATGTATATCCCAATATGGGCCCGTCAACATCCAGCCTTAGCCCTGATCTAGAAATGTCGGAAGATTATGAACCAACCGACCCAACTTACCATCAACCACATTATCACCAAACCACCCAACATCCTCAATACCAAACACCCCAGGATCCATTTCCTTTCTACCCCCCGTACTCAGACGATCAATGCTACAGACCCACCATGGAACCCCACCCACCGCCAACACGACCAAACTTTGAGGGTATGGGTAACCGACTGTACCAAAGCGGATCTTCTCTCTGACTGATTTCATGGATCCAGAACGCATTGACTTCGCTGGGCCATCGACCCTGCCACAACAGGAAACGCGACGACACTCAGCACGGGAAAGGCGAGGACGGGGATGCGAAACCGGGGGTCATTACTGGGTTCCGGGAGACCACTGATTAATCTGTTTTTTTTAATCTGTATTTTTTTATGTAATTCTTATGGGTGTAATCATCTTTTGTAAATAAAAAGTCAATTTTGTTGATCCTATATCGAATACGCAACGCACCGGATTGAAGAAAAAAAACGCGAAAATTGCCCTAGAAATGCACTTAGGCGCCATCTCACTCCCTAAGCACCTAGGCGCCAAGTGAGATGACGCCTCCCCTTAAATAATGGGTGTAGGCGCCAAGTGAGATGGCTCCTCCTTTGGAGAGTCATCTGAAACATGGTTATTTGCGTAATTTTTTCCAAAACATGATTATTTACGATTTTTTTTAATACCTGATTATTGCAAAAAAAAATTCTAATCCGCAACCTACTTCTATTTATTCATATTTAAATATTTAAATTTTAATTAAAAACTAAGATACTTGCCAAAAAAATATAAATAAACAACCCTAGATGTTGCATAATAGCACTTTTTGTTTGATAAAAAAAGATGCAAAAGAACACTAAAGTAAAATAATAATGTTTCATTAGATATAAATTATAATTTACACCCATAATATATAATATTTAAATGGAAACAATTTCCACCCCAATTCTTAAATACATAATCCAATTCCCCAATCTTTAACTTGAAGTCATTCTTCATTCAAATCTTCCACTTTTACTTCTGCTCAAACCAGATAGCACATGACTATGCTTTAAATAAAAGATTTGGAAGAAAATGTGTCTTGTTTATATTATTCGATATTATGTAGTATATATTTATAATGTAATTTATTTTAAAAATGATTACTACAACAACATAGTGAACTTAAATTACAGCCACCTTTCATAAATCCCCACACAAGGCATCTTCTGCCGCAATCTTGACATGGTCCACCAATGCATACCTCCCCTGCATCTTTACTAGTTGCTCCTACTACATAAAAAAAAAATTAAAAAAAAAACTCAAACTCAAAACTTCATTCTATATTTTAACAATGATGTACAAAAGAGAATTTATGGGAGAAAGTTCATATGTTTCTTACCAGAAGATAGGACCAACGCAATGCATAAAAGTCCCAAGAGAAAAAGTTTGCACATGTGCATTGCCATTTTTTGTGAAGGTTTTATCTTTGTACTCTATTACTTTTGTTCTTGCATTATGCATAGCAAACTTCAAGCTCTTTATATAGTTCTCATTTAAAAAAAAATTATTTTGAAAATAAAATTTGATTATCTAATAAGTTGTAACTCAGAAACCATGGGTCCAAAAAAGTATATATTTATGTATATTTAAATAGAAAACTCTATATTACACGAATATTCACGGAAGATAATAGAAAAAGACTCAATTATTATGTGAAGAAAATAAGTGAGGGTGACATATGTTTTTCTTTTTTTCTTTAATTTATAGAAGCAAGAATTAATTGATATCATACGTCTCTTTTATTGCATAACTAATAATGGAACTATATGTAAGTTAGGAAATAATAATGGATTTTCTGTTTAGAAATATAGTTGGGAATTATCCATTTTTTTAATTATAGTAGTTGAATATATCAACCTTTTATTCTCTTGGTAATTTGTCATGCCTAAAATCGAACATGACAGCTATTGAGTGGCTCAGGCTTTGAAATAGAGTGTTTTGCTTTGGTTTAATTTGATACCATGGGTCTGTGTGTGTTGTTTTGTTGGTTTTTGTTGTTTTATTTTTTGTTAGGCTCATCTTGTGCTTACCTTAATATTTGTTGTCTTTTAAAAAAATATAACAAGAATATTTTTATTCAACAAGTAACTGTGGGAAAAAATATGGAACCTACAGCTTCCTACAAGATATTTACGAACAAACTTTAACTCAATAGGGTTTAGATTATTAACAACACATTATGTTCCTAACTGAAAGAATATTATGTACACAAATATTTTTTTACTTTTTCGTATGACTTACTCAAATAATTTTGAGACTCTATTTATGTATATAATAAAGGCAAAAATACGAGATACACTAATGTACACCGAACACTAGAGAAATCCCAAACCACTACAATATTTGTTGTCTTTGGCAACACTTGAAAAGCGTTGTCAGAACTCTGAAACATCGTTGCCTAAAATAATAAGGGACGTTTCCTAGGCGTTCGAGTGTTGTCTATTGTCTAAGGGGACGTTTTTTCATGTTCTTTGGGGACGCTTTTTATAAACGTCGCCTAAACAAATGGAATAGGAGACGATTATTTGTAGCCTTTGAGGCGACGTTTTTTAAGTGTTGACATTAGCAGCTACAATTAGTAAGTGTTGCCTTAAATATGAATTAGGAGGATTATTTTTAAAATGTAGCCCTAGCTTATAGACTGTTCTTTTACATGGTCACCATAAAATATACAATTTTGCAATTATTTTCTAAATAATATAATCGATGATGACTGACTTAAAAAAATGTTTATTATAACTTAAACAAGATCAAATTTAACCATACATCCACAAAAGTTGTATTATAATAAAATCGAGTTCAAACATTAATTCAAGATAGTATCGGGTAAACAAAATGCCTAACGTAATAGATAGTTTCTTTAAGTCTAATGCTTATGCACAAGTCTAAAACAATAACATCCAACTCATTCAAGTTTGTCAAACTCATCATCATCTTCATCACCCTCTTTATGATATATGTCGTCCTCTTGAAGCTCGTCACCCATGTCGTTCTCTTGAAGTTCTTCACCTAATTCATCTTTATCACTTGAATCGTCCTCATGAAATTAGTAACTTACGACATCGTCCTCGTCAACATCTTCATTGATACCTTACTGCATAAGAAAATGAAAACAAATCAACAAAAACAATTTTTACAAAAATCTAACTCACTACCTTTTTTAACAACAAATATATTATTAACAAGATAAAACTCTCCAACTAACTCATCCGATCCAAACAAGAAATGGATGTCATCCAATCCCAACAACTAACCAAACAATTAAAATTATAAATGAATGTAACTCTGATGTTAAATCCATTGGAGTGTACATAAGCATTGATTTTTTCAATTACAAGTGGAATACATACAAAAATAAATTTTAAATTACTATATAAACAAAATATTTACATGATTCAACCAGAGATGCATCAAACCAACTATATAAGTTTATAGATTTTTCAATTCAAATCACTTGAAATTTTCTACATTCCACCTACACGCATCAGAGAGAATCCTTCATGTTGAAATTAATATATAATCTTATCCAAAAAAAAAGTTAATCTATAAAAAACTCTAAATTTTCTTGGTGGTTTATTATTGCAGCAAAGGTATTTCATTTTGTGAATCCATTTTTTTCATTTCAAGCCAAAATCAACAAAAACGTGTCATGGTAGCCATTCATGAATTAAGATATTTGCAACAACAAAAAAGTAATTGTTGGAGCATATATTGACATTAATAATGCAACTTTATTAAAAGGTAAAGAAAAATTATTGCACTATGTAGATAAGAAAATGGCATACACATCAAGTGTAATTATTTTCACAATCAATTATTTGCTAATCTTTATTTGATAAGCATAACTTAATAACATGAAGAAAAAAATTTAAGTTCTTATCATGAGTCAGTAAAACAATAGAAACCTATACTACAAGTTTTCAGAGAAAGAATTCAAAAGACATGCATCCTTTTAACAATATCATGAGGGAAATCGGCTATTTCAATTTCAGTTATAAGGTGGTGAAGGTAAAAATCAATTTCGATGGTGAAAGTTGAAATTGATTTGAGTTTTGAAGGTGAAAATGAATTTGGGTTCCCAGGTTGAAATTAAAATTGGATTTGAATTCTGAAGTTAAAAAAGAATTTGGGTTCTTGGACGAAATCGATTTCCCTTCGGAGAAAATCGATTTGGGTTTTAAGGTTGAAAACAAAATTGGAGTTGAGATATGATGTTAAAAAATTTGGGTTCTGAAGAGATTTCTTTTCGGTGAAAATCGATTTGGGTTCTCATATTGAAAACAAGAATGAAATACAAAATCAATTTGCGTTTGAAAATGATATCGATTTCAAAAAGTAAGGTTGAAATTAAACGAGAATGAAAAAACCTAAATCAAATTTGGATTCAATGAAAAAATATGGGAAAAGGTAACAATGGCTTCATTTGTTTTAGGAAGGTTTTTTTTTTAAAAAGATTTTATCACTTAACAAATATTATTATTATTATTATTATTAATATTATTATTATTATTATTATTATTATTATTATTATTATTATTATTATTATTATTATTATTACTATTATTATTATTATTATTGTTATTATTATTATTATTATTATTATTATTATTATTATTATTATTATTATTATTATTATTATTATTATTATTATTATATTATTATTATTACTATTATATTATATTACTATTATTATTATTATTATTATTACTATTATTACTATTATTATTATTACTACTATTATTATTACTATTACTATTATTACTATTACTATTATTAGTATTACTATT